AATACATGATGCAGTCTGGGTGAGATATATAAAGCCCTTAACATTTTTCAAGATACTACTGATGAAGAGATCCATCAGAAAGACATGCTGAGATCATGCTGTATAGAGTCCAAGGCAGTCAGACAAAAATAGCCTCTGTGGTCTGTCACATATCTGCTTCCATATTTCAAGGGAATATGGCTAGTTCTAAACTTGAATAATTTTGACTCCAAGAAAAGTATTAGATATGGTAAGAAATAGGAACATATAACCATATATAGGAAGCAAAAAATCAATGGAAAGAAACCATAAAATAGCATAGAAGTTGGAAATTTCAGTCAATGAACAGGAGTTAGAGGATGATGGAGGATGATATTCTCATAATCTGATCAATTGGTTTATTGATCCTAGGAATAAAGACAAATGATCAAAGATGAAAACTATCAAGCCAATGAGGCAAAATGAAATTTCTTTATCACTGCAACAGATATTAAAATGATGATCGGGAATCACAACAAGTATGTGCCTATCAATTCTATGTGAATCTTCATCACTGGAGAAACAGAGCTTAGAAATAGACTCACATTGACATCTGTGAAGAACTGTGTATCAAAAAGTAATCTTTTAAAAGGAAACTACAAATCCAGATTTCTTTCTTGGTCAACCCCATAACAACAACAGTTGTGGTTATTTGCACAAGATCAAGTAAAATCAACCAAGCTACAATTCCAGCATGGATTTGGGAAGGAGGGGCTGGTGAGATCTCTAGCTGAGGAGCTATCGGCAGTCAAGGGTGGCTGCAACACAGTAAGCAATTTTTCTTTGGGCATTTAGTCACTAGTATGTGTCATATGAGCCAGTGGATAATCACACACACACACACACACACACACACACACACACACACACACACTGGAAAAAATGAATTGGACACAGTGAGATGTGAAGACAAAATAGAGAGGAACAGATCTGGGGAAGAGGGGAGGCATTTGTGCAAGGTAAATGCTCTAAGAAAACCAGTCACACATGCAAACTTTCTCAATCTGATGGAAGTTACTAACAAAAATTTGTAGCTAATATCATATTTAATAGTTATTGAAAATTTTCTTCTTATAACAAGGAACAAATCATCAAATTTTCTTGCTATCATTAATCAAATTTTAACAAAAATGACAAGGCAACAAAAATGGGACAAAAACAAAAACAAAATATTGTAGACTACTAAGTTCTTTAAGTTAAAAGGCCCTGTGGAATCATTAAGTAGAAGCAATTAGTAAATTTAGTAAGATCACATGATATTAGATCAACATAAATAAATCAAATGTCAAATTTACTATTTTTAAAGATGTGGAAAATGGACTTCAGAAAATAGCAATATTTAGAATAATATCAGTGACAAATGACTTACAAAGGAATTCAGCAAAAACATTGGATAAGATCTATAATACACTGCTAAAAAAATTAGGAAGGACATTAAGAAGAGAAACCTATATCATGCTGTGGACAGCAAGTTATAGTACATTAAGATGGTTAGTTCTTAACAAATTATACTGAAACAACCAGACACAAAAACTGAACCTGTACTGTCATGGACACCATAATGAAAACAAATGAGCTGTAACACAGACCTAATTGCAAAAAGCTTAACTCAAAGTTCTAGAAGAAAGCAGAGGAAAACACTTCTGTAAGTGAAGAGTGGGCACAATTTTCTGCTTCAGCATAGCATTTATCAAAAGTTGTGTGTTATACAGAGAAATAATTCCCAACAGAGGAAAAAGTGTTCATCAATTCCTCAGAAGTCAGGCAGCTGCAAGCAAGTGAGGAGTGTGGTATGTGAGTTAACCTGAGTGTTATACACTATGCCTGCTGTAGAGGCCCACTCAGATGGAAAGTGGACCATAAATATGGTTTAAAGGATAGGTGTGCCATTCCGGAGTAGAAACATATAGGCCTACACCATATAGAACACTACTAGTTGACCAGGAATTGAATTGCCTTTTAGGTGTCTTAGCCATTCATTTCTCCTATATTTTCTCACCTGTCCTGCACTATAGATTCTTCTCCTGAGATGATTTATGCTTCATTTCTCCTCACCGCACATCTAAAAGTTTCTGTCAAGCATAGCTGAGCAGTGACCTCATAATCATGGTATTGTGCTCTCCACTGGTGTGACATCCCAAGATAATTTATATTCATTCCAATCTCACTTCTAGCTAGTTGACTCTACAGCAGGGTCAGCAGGCCAGCAAATCTACTTCAAATTTTCACATCAGAGAAATGCTCTTATTTTATTAATACTAAGGACAAACTCCAAAAACAGTTTTAATTAATCAAGCACCCAGACAAGCAATTCACTGGAATAATCTATATTTCTTCTTGTGCTATAAATAGAGCATTTTAATGAAATTCAGAAGAAGGGGAATACTTAAATAACTTACAAGATTTTATATATA